ATCTTATACTGACGATCCGAGTAAAATTGCCCAATCCTTTAATGAACACTTCTCTTCAAATTTTAGTAGCCAGTCCTACAAGGACATTCCTTCCCCTACTGACATTAGGCCTTCTGAACTGGATGAAGTTCCTCCAATTCAAACCTCACCGCAGATGGTTCTCCAATTGATTAAAAAAGTCCCCCGGATCTGACAATATTACAACTTCTATGTTGAAATTAAGTGCTATATATGTATGTGAGCCATTATCTAAAATGTTTAATATCTCACTTGATAAAGGTATGTTACCAGACGATTGGAAACATGCCAATATAGTTCCAGTGTATAAAAAGGGAGAGCGAGCTTGTGTTCGGAATTACAGACCAATATCTCTCTGCTCTGTTGTAGGCAAAATGCTCGAAAGAGTAGTAGTTGACAACATTACATCATTTATGTTAGACAAAGGGCTTGTCTCCAGTTTTCAACATGGATTCATAAAGGGCCATTCTTGTTCTACTCTCTTGTCGTCAGTGATTCACCATTGGTCTGCAATCCTTGACTCAAGATCCCCTCCCCATATTGACGTAGTGTTTCTAGATTGGAGCTCTGCATTTGACCGGGTTGATCATTCCGCTCTTCTGGCTAAAGTTTATAATTATGGATTTTGTGGCTCGCTCTGGAGGTGGCTTCATTCTTTTCTTATTGGGCGCTCTCAAACTGTTCTTTTTCGGGGTCAATCTTCTTCTGTTGCCCCTGTGACCTCTGGGGTTCCCCAGGGGTCAGTCCTCGGGCCTATTCTTTTTAATTTATTTATCTGTGACCTTCCTGATACTATCCAATCTTCTATCCCTCTTTACGCCGATGACACTCTTCTTTATTGTGCTATTTTCTCTTCTAATGATGAAGCCATCCTCCAGAGTGATCTCGACCATGTTTGTAGGTGGAGCGAGGGGTGTGGAATGTCCCTCAACCCGAACAAATGTAGAGTAATGCGAATCACTCGATCAACTAGTCGAGCACAATCTCCAAAAAGTTATCACATCAATGAGGCTTGCCTTCAGCTCACTTCTACTCACAAGTATCTTGGTGTTAACATTGCATCTAATTTATCATGGGGTGCTCACGTTAATGATGTCACTTCCAAGGGTCTGAAACTTCTTGGCTTTATTAAGCGAACTTTGAAATACAATCACTCCGAAGCCTTTATCAAATTATATAATTCCCTCGTGAGACCAATTTTAGAGTATGGAATACCGAGTTGGTATCCATTTCAAGCTGGACATTTGAAATCTACTGAAAAGGTTCAGAGAAAAGCAACTCGTATGAGCATCCCAAATGAACTCAGATCTGTGTTAAGCTAAGAGGAGAGATTAGTTAAATTTAACTTGATCTCTATGAAGGCTAGATAAGATTTCATTCTTGTAGCTTTTGTTTGTAAATGCCTTTATCATGTGTATGATTTAAACTGTTTGGAATTTGTTAAGATCAACACAAGACACTCTGATGATTTGCGTTTTAGGCATGCCTTTGCCCGAACCAATGCATTTAAATTCTCTGCTTTCAATTATTTTCCCATTGTATGGGAAACTCTTCCACTTGAAGTACGTGATGCTGCTCTCTTTAACATTAACTTATTTCTCAGAAAGCTAAAAGAACATTTTTACAACTGAGAGAATTTCAGATATAGCTATGCCCAAGTCAAGCTAAAAGTGAACTCTAATTACTTAATTTTCTCTTTTTGGTGTTTGTTGGTTTGTGAAGTGGGGGCAGGGTTTGGGGGTGGGTGTTTTCCTATTTCAGATCAAATTTTTTTGTGTACTTTTTTATTTGTTTGTGTGATTGTTTAATATTTATAATAATTATTATGCTGGTAATTGTAATTAAAATTATTGTAGTTATTATTATTGTTGTTATAATAATAATAATAATAATAATAATAATAATAATAGTAATAATAAAAATAACAATAATAATATAAGTAATGAACATATTTTAATTGTTAATTATTTTTGTATATCACACATATATATATATATATATATTTTTATAATGTATTTTTACTGCTAGTCCATGTTTCCTCCATTGCTTGGAGAGCCACTCAGACAGTAATTCATTTTACTTTTTGGTAATCCTGCCGGCTCTTCGGGGAAACATGGATTACCTTTTCGAATTTTCCGAATATTTTACTGTATTGTTATGATAAAAAAAAAAGGCGAAATAAATGAAATGAAATGAAATATTTGTATTGTAATTTCTGTCTTTAATCAGTTTCCGGGTGGCTATAAAAGTATTTTTAACATATTTGTTTCTTAAACCTTTTTAACACGTAGCAAGGGCTGATCCCTGTCTCTTATACACATCTAGATGTGTATAAGAGACAGAGGCAAGGCTCGCTCCTAACCAAAGAAACCTT